AAGGTAAAAAAATAATAATAATTCAGATCAAAAGAGACCCACCGAGGAGGACTCCCAGCGTGGCCTGTCCCGACCGCAGCGGGTGATCTTCAATCTTGATGCCGTCCAACATGTTGCTCGTCTCGGACTCTTCTCCCGCGGCGCGGCGCTGCACTGACAGCCGACCTGTTGCAGAGTCCATGAGAGGAAGACAGTGAGGAGACAGTGGACAGGGGGACAGGGGACAGGGGACACAGGTACACTACACTCTCAGTGACACACACACACACACGCGCGGGTTGCAGCAACGGGACAAAGTGAAAGAACAAAAAGAACAAAAAGAACAGAAAGAAAAAAAAAACTATCTGATGCTCGGAGGAATAAAAGGAGTCTGAACCTGGGACCGGGGGCCACAGAGGGGACAGGGAGGACAGAGGGACAGAGGGACAGAGGGAGAGAGAGTAAAGTGTCACCTGTTATCAGTCAAGAGCGACGAAGGAGACGTTTTCCTCCTCCTTCTTCTCCTTCTTGTTGTTCGACACGGGGAAAAATGAGGAAAAAATCTTCACGGCTTCACGAAGTGTTCAGAGTCAAAGTGCGACGATGTTGACAGGAAATCCAGTGAGAGCGTCGGTCGGTCGGTGTCGGTGTCGGTGTGTGTGTGTGTGTGTGTGTGAGTGTGTGTGTGTGCAGTGGAAGTCGTCTCTCAGTTTGAGGCTCCTGTCGCTGGAAAGTCTGAGCTCGAGATTGAAGCCGTGGATCCTCCCACTCCTGCTCGGCCACACTTCGTCTTCACTCTCCATTCACTGCCGTTGGGATGCTATTGGAGCAGAGAGCAGTCCAATAACAACACACACACACACACACACACACACAGTCCACAGAGAAGAAGACAAGAGGGAAATAAGAGTTTTACACAGCACTGGAATGACCCAATAATAAGAACAACAATAATAACAATAATAATAATAAAACACAGTCCATCATCATATTATTATCATTCATAATCTATATAAACATATAGATTTATATAGTTATTCCAGAACAACAATACTTTATGATACAGTATTACTGTAGTTTTTTTTACTGCTCCTTTAAAATACAAAACAATTCAAACGCACATATATGTGTGACGTAGATAAAAATACTCCATGAAGTATTTTTTCAAATATATTCATACGTTAAATGACGATTTAATTTGATAAAATTAAATCGTCATTTTGTAGTAAAAATATATAATTTTCTAATCAAAGAAAAAAATAAATATAAATTTTTTTTTTTTTTCTGATGCTGAATTTCCAGCCAGTGAGATTTAAAGACGCTCTGTGACGTAGCGGGGCCCGGGCCACGGCTTGAACACCATCGTCATGAGCAGATATTTGCTCCCAGGTTGGAGTCGGTGTCACTGGAGTGTTTTAGTCAGACTGAGCTGTGATTGGCTTCAGGTGTGAGAGACCCTCTCTCTATCTCTCTCTAGGTCTCTCTCTCCCTGTCTTTGTGTATTGTTCCCGCTCTCCTGTTTTAACTGACGCACCTGGCGGTGATAACAGCGGCCTGTCCGAGGAGGACATCGTGTCCATCTGAGGACAACGAGCCACACAAAAATGACTAAGAAGAAAAAAATCAGGAATAGACAAAAAAACAAAACAAAAAAAAACCCGTGATTTTTTCGGTTGTTCGATGTTCGATGTTTTGTGCAGAATAATAAAATTAACGAGGTGATTATTATATCCTGCACTTTTAGAAATAAAATGTTTTTTTGTTTTTTGTTTTCTTCTTCTCCTGATCGTCTGACAAATGATCCAATCACAGAAACCGTCGAGTTCAGTCACGGCCTCGGAGCAGAAAGGACAGGATTTCAGGAGTGAACAGATTTCGATCAGACTCGTTTCTCTGCCGAGGATCGACGACGATGATGAGATGAGTGAGGAGTCAGAGCCCATGAAAAAAACAAAACCCAAAAAACCCAACAAAATAAACCCGAACAAACAGAGGTGTTGGCTGTGTTTTTAAACATAGGAAGAGACAGACAGAGAGAAATACTGATTATTCAGCAGCAAAATAAAACACGAAGAACATTATTTTTTATTTTAAAATAACACGAAGAAGAAGAGACATTTGAACGGAGTTGTCCATAAATGTATTGTTTTAAAACAGTGTTTTTAACTCAGTTTTAGAATCAGCTGGATTTATTTATCAGCAATAATAACACCCGTCAATTATTATTATTGTTATAATTATTGTTGTTATTATTTAATAATAATAATAATATTTTTTTTTTCACTACGGCAGCGTCTCCGGGTCTGATCCCACTGTGATTCCACTCATGTTGCAGCTTCACGGCGTCCACAGAAGTCCAGCACGGACGGAGAGCAGACCGAGCACGCTGCCCTCTGTCGGCCATTGAGGGAAAAGCAGCGCTTCTGACAAAACAAAAAGTACAGAAACACCGATTAAGAAGACGTGATCAATCTACCACAGATCGGTGGGACGTGTGGTGGAGTGAAGTGGACCGGGTTCTACCACAGAACCCAGAGAACTTTTCACGTCATCAAAACTGTAACTAACAATGAAGACGTACTGACTAAGATGCAGAGGAGGCCGTGGTCCAGCAGGGGTCAGATGTTCTGACCCGGACAGTTTATCATCAACGGTGTCAGCAGATGATTCTGATTCAACTCCACTGACGTCACTGATGACGTCACTAACTACACCTGACCTGCTCTGCTTTACTAGCTACTGTTGCTAACTACAGGCTAACTACTGGTGTCTGTAGCTGACCTACTGTCTCTGTGTCTGTGATGTCAGGGTCTGTCTGTGATGTCAGTGTTTGTCTGTGATGTCAGTGTTTGTCTGTGATGTCAGTGTTTGTCTGTGATGTCAGGGCCTGTCTGTGATGTCATGGTCTGTCTGTGATGTCAGTGTTTGTCTGTGATGTCAGTGTTTGTCTGTGATGTCACAGCCTGTCTGTGCCTTCTTCATCTTCACTGTTGTTGATACGACTATTTTAACCTTTTGTTTTCGCTCTGTTTCTGACTTTTGAAGTTGAACCTTATTCGTTCGCCGTCTGTGACCGTTCGCCGTCTGTGACCGTTCACCGTCTGTGACTCCAGCAGAGCCGTCGTCCACACTGCACAGTCTCTACTTCCTGTCTCCATGAAGAGACTTCAAAAACACACAGTAACGACAACAACCGGAGGATCGGTGTCAAACATCTGAACTCTTCCCAGGGTGTTTTCTAGTCTCGCCCTGGAGGTTGCGTCAGGAATTCCCCTTTAGCTGGAGATTCCTG